TAGCTGCTAGAACTAGGATTCTGAATGTACTTTTCGTCCTCCTGGAGACTCGTCAGCTGGATGCACCTGCAACCTTAGTTAGTGGTGGTTCATACGGAAACTTGTAACCAGGACCAATCGTCTAAAACACCAGCATGTTATTCACCAGACGGCGATAGTCAATCCTTGTGCAATGAAGACAATAAAATGTTTACGTTAGAGCCTGTAAACCCCTATCGCTGATTGAACTGGTTATCCACCTTTCTCACTCTTATCCATGAAAGCTTTGAACCTGTGTACATATCGCACTGCTATTTGGTTAGGTCACTGAAGAATAACCAGTACACATTCATATATAGAGACCTTACAGTGAACAGTCTTACAATCCATCGTAATGAAACAAATGCACTGGCCGATATGATTCCTGCTCTGACCCAGCTTTTTATTTCACCTTTGAGCTTCCATGCATGCTTAAATACGGTTAAATGACCAGAGCTGGGGTAACCTTAATAGATAAAACGTAGTTCATAAGCATAAAGACTTTGCATGAATTTGTGGAGATACATTAGAGAATGCACACGTGTCAAACTAAATTGCTGAGAACGAGTGTCGTAAATTCATCTCCCCATTCACTGTCATCACTCCCGTCTATACTAAACAATACAGACAGCGAAATCAATGGAAGAGGAGATCAGCAAGGCAGCAGAGATTACCTTCCTAATGTTATGTGGCTGAGTTGATAAGTCAAGGGAGATGCCCGACCCTGGTCCCAATTATTATTCTCTGAGTTAACAGGTGTGAGTTGATCCTACACCTGGTAACGTCACATCGACCAACTGATTCAGAGCGAAAATGAAGTTTGGTTGTTAACTCACTTAACTGTTTGTATTTACCAAAATACATAGGAAGAGTACAAAGCGTTAAAAAGTAGCGGACCTAATTAGGATGTCAAAGAATGAGAGCAGAGATAGACAGGTGAAGGACGTTCGTAACTGATTAGTTGTAGATCTCATTCTCTCTGGCTACGGATACTACTCGACACTCCATTTTCTTCCTTCTCAAATCTTCACAAGTTAATCTGGTGTTTTCCGAAGTATTTATTATCTACTACTGGCTTACATTCTTATGAGTATAACTGACCACAATATTATACTTCTTTCAATGGCTGACACACACAGTCTAAGTTAACTTACGAAATACAGTTCAACGTTATTTCCTAATTCATATCATGACGTTCAGTTTTTGCGAATCATTATCAGAGTTAGTTAATACTCAGTCAGTCAAACTGGCGTATCAAATCAATAATTTTTCTCTTCCCCCTCACATTGAATTGTTATATCATTCCCTTTTAAAAATGTTTTTAAACTAAATTCATCAACACATCAGCCTAGTAATCTAGGCTTTAAACATGAAAAATATTTTTGTAAATGGCTTTAATCACATAACTTCTGGAATGATGATGATACTGTCATACGTAGAAAACACATCGGGGGTTGTCTATTTCGGTTCAGATTTTCCTTCTGCTAGTCTTTTCATATAACCTCACCTAGGTAGCTAGTTCACTTGTTACTAGCCGGTCCTAAGCCCGGATAAAGAGCATCGAAGGCTCTCATGCAGGATCGTGACAGCAATATTCAACTCAAAAGGAAAGAAAGTCAAAATGCTACAATGCTACTCCCCAACAAATAATGCAGAGAAGAAGAAGAAGGAATTCTACAGACAACTGCAATCAGTACTGAGCAAGACTCCAGTTGGCGACATCAAAATACTAATGAGCGACATGAATGCCAAACTGGGAGCAGATAACACTGGAAGAGGACTGATCATGGGTCGGGAAGCACTCGGTGAAATGAACGAGAATGGAGAACTGTTTGCAGACTTTTGCACATTCAACGATTTGGTGATTGGAGGCAGTGTGTTCAAGCACAAGGATATCCACAAAGTGAACGACATGGATTTCACCAGATGGGCACACTACACTAAAAATGAGGCTGACTTCATTTCAATGTGAAGAAAGTGGAGACATAGTCTACAGGACACAAAATCAGATCAAAAAGGGGAGCAGATGTAGGTTCACACCGCTCACTGTCTAGTGCAAGGAACCTTCGAAATCAAGTTGAAAGCCTTGAAAGAAGTTAGTGACAGACCACAGTTCAACACCTAGAAACTGAAGGACAAAAATACAAAGAAAATCTTCACGCCAGCCATCAGAACCAAATGGGAGTCATTGAGCAGCATGCCTGTAGGATCGGGCGTAGAACACTGGAACTCTTTGAAAGAGATGTGGAAAGAAACCTGCATAACCCTGTTAGGAAGGAAAAGGAAACAAGACAAGGAATGGATCTTGATGAACACATGGGAGCCGATAGACTAGGGAGAGGAAGATGGTGACGGTGAAGCAGAAGATGAACCAGTGTTGTGCAAGGATGCACAACGAAAAGAACTGAGTACAACGTATAAAACACTGGACAAAGAAGAGTGCATGCAAAGACAAAAGACACCTCTACGACACACCAGCAAGTGAAGCAGAACAGGCTATAGGTAGGAGAGATCTGATAATACCATATCAAATAACCAGGTTACTATCTGGAAAGAGATCGACACAGATGAAATCAATGAAAGATAGTGAAGGAAACTTAGTTACTGAAGAGGGATGAGAAGCAAGGGAAACGATGGGCTGACCACTTCAAAAAACTCTTGAATCGACCACCGCCATCACATACTGTAACTCGTCCAGAAATGCTATCAGCAGCCCAGCCACAGAATTACCAGTGAATATAAGCCCTCCGACAAAAGCCGAAGTCTTGAATGCCAAGCAACAGGACCAGATGGAATTCCGATAGAAGCACTGAAAACAGACGCAGAAATATCAGCAAACATGCTCACGAAACTATTCCAGAAGATTTGCAAGGAAGGAAGGAGAGGTTCCCTTCATATGGAAGAAGGCCTACCGCGTCAAACTTCCAAACAAGGGAGACCAAAGTCATTGCAAGAACAGGCGCGGAATCATGCTCTTATCCTTGTCCACCCCAAGCAAAATATTAACCCGTATCATCCTGGAGAGACTAAAAAATGCGCCGGACTCAAAATTAAGACCGGAACAAGCTGGCTGGCTGTCTTCAGGAAGTACAAATCATGTGCGGATGAAATTCCAACACTACGCTACGCATCATCATAGAACCGAGTTTAGAATGACAGCCAACTCTATACCTCAACTTCATCGATTTTGGAAAGGCCTTTGATAGCGTCGACCAAGGAGTAATTTGGCAGCTGCTTACTTCAACACTATGGTTTTAGTGCTACAAACCTTTACCGACCTCATTCAACAGCTACATGTCAAGTGATTCACAATGGAAGGCTCAGTGACGCCTTTGAAGTGAAGACAGGAGTAATACTATGCTGCCGCCTGCTATCACTGATGGTCTTCCAAATTGTAGTGGACTGGAAGATCTACTGTACTTAACACCGACGTCAAGTCAGTGCTTCTTTAAGTTTCTGAGAAGCATTTCCAACAAACAACAAATAATCATCAACAACTGCCTACGCTAGATGCTGAGGATCAGATGACCAGAAAGAATAAGCAACAAGGAACACACTCTGGGAACGAACTAACATAGAACCTATCGCGCAACAAATATGCAGAAGAAAGAGGAGATGGATTGGGCATACAAGGAGAAAACCATTCGGAGATATCAGGCACCAGGCTATCGTGGAGAATCTGAAGAGAAAACAAGAGTTGGGCGTCTGATCCGAAGGTGATATTGAGGAGATGGTGTGAGGATGAAATGAAAGCTTGTGGGCAGTTGTGGAGCCAGGTTACAAAGACTGCAGAGAACATAGTGCAATGGAGACGTGCTACTGAAGCCCTATGCTCCATTAAGAACGCAATGGATAAATAGGACTGTCGGCAATGATGTTAGAATAAGGTGCAATTAGATTGGAAAGCACTGTCAGTAGTCCACCGAGTCAACCCACCTCCTCGAATTATTTTCATCTGAAACATTTTTTTATCATGAAATTTGAGCATTTATTGCTTATTACTTTATTGATAATGTGTGATGATGATTGAAGGTGAAATGAAGACCGATCCCCGTGGCAGAACTCGAACCAGCAACCTTCGGGTTATTGACTGAACTACGTGACTCAGGGCTGCTAACGCGTTACTATTTATTCTTCGGATCCACACTGGTTGCCAAGTCAAAACTTCTCATCTCAATTTAAATCAACCTGAATCAGTGAGAGGGAGTATTCTATTGATTATCAGTCTGACTATCTGATACAGCCATAATTCAAGAGATAAGGTGATGAGTGAAGATGAAATGGAGGTTGTTTATTGGATTCCTGTTGTAAGGTTCAGATTTTGTATTTCACTTTCAATCATAACCCAATCTATCAATAATATAGCTATCTAAAATAGTCAAACTGATATTATATTCTATTTTTAAAAACATGTTGCAAAAAAAACAATAATATTGTTGAATTGCGTCAAAATCAATTTATTCATTTTACAAAATTATAATCGATAATTTTGTACTGAAATTCTTCTTCAATTTAATCCCAATGTATGAAATGACCGGTTGAAAATTATTAACTCACCTCTCTATCTCTCTCTCAATCACAAGAGGATATTTCAATGTAAAAGATGTCACAAATAAAAAAGAGAAGTGGAGATAACATAACTTGGCTGGGTACATAAAATGGTTGGATACATATGCCTAATTATATGTTAATCCAAGAGAAAAAGGATAGTAAAAATTGATTTTATGCGAATAGGATATTAAAACAAAACAAAACGCATCAATCACAAGTCTAATACACAAGACGTATGATAGTAAAATATATTCACGCTAAATACTCTTCTCAAAGTCATTATAGTTCAATATTGTATGGATAGTTTACTAGAATCTGAGTTACTTTACAAAGGAATTTTATTGTGATAAAATTAATTATAGTTATAAGATAAAGAAAAATTTTATTCAGTAGCATAATATATATGTTCATTTCTTTAATTTTTCATTTATTTATGGCAATCGTAAGAATATACTAGGTAATCTACTCCAATCAATATCATCTGGGGATTTTATTCGATTTTTTGTTTGAATAAATTCTATCAATAACTGATCAATTAATTGATCTAATATTGGCTTGACTGAAATTATATTCGTATATGAATATAAATAAAAAGAAAAAAAAAGAGATAAAAATTTAGAACAATATAAAATTGAATTTTTAATCTTTAGAAAATATATCTTAAAGATATTACATGTTAAAATTGATATAAATGAATATTTCAAGTTGTTATTCATCGTAGACTGACATCAGTTGTAGGAACGAAGGAAACCTGGGAACATTGGACTGCTGTTTCGTCCTAGTATGGGACTCCTTAGCAATGGGCAACAACGACTCCGCCAGGGATCATACCGCTACCTTCAGTTTCCGTGGTCAGCACGTTGCCGTTGAGCCACTGGGTCACAATCCAATGGTCCATATTTCCAACTCCTGTTAGCTCACGAAATCTTTTAAATCCCAACAACTCCATCAAAATTCAATTGAACTGGTGATCATTGGTGACTAGCTTCGAGAGATATTCCCAAAGTTCCAATGAGAAGTCGTGGCCAGTGCGGGCGAAACCTGATGGTCGTGAGGACAGTTACTCAGCGATGACATTGGGTGGCGGTTGCGCTACATTTTGAGGTAACAGAAATTGGAAATAGGAAGCATTAGATCCTGACCAAGTGGCTCAATGGTGACGTTCTGGTCAAGGAACCTGAAGGTCGCGGGTTCGACCCCTGGCGAGGTCGTGGTTGCACGTTTATGAGGAGCCCATACTAGACGGAGACAGCTGTCCAGTGCTCCCGGGTTTCCTTTGTTTCTCCAACTGATGTCAGTCTACGATGGATAGGAACTTGAAATATTTCCAAATCTCCAAAACTCTCTTTCAAAAAAACAAATAAATGAATATGTTGAAAATGTAAACACTTTTCTGACTGTAAAGTTTATTGAAGTAGTTGCTCAGTTCTTAAGCATAATATATATTACATATTGACGAGATCACAAAGGAAACCAAATAAAATGGAATCTCAGCAAGCAGATAGGCGACTTGTTCGGGAAGTCTTAAAACAAAATAACTATCCAGACAGACTATTAAAAAGGATCCGAAAAAGTTTATCGAATAAAAATATGAAAAAGTCAAGCCATAAAGATTGGATGAGTACTATAGTACTTTCTTATCGAACATCCACTTAAGAGGGAATAAGACATATCCTTAATAGTTACAACATTACAGTATTATTTAAGGTGACGAATACATTAAACTCACCTATGTAAATTGAAAGATCCAATTCCTCATTTCAAACAACAAAACTGTGTTAATAAGGTAGGCTGTAGTGAATGCGATGGCATATACACTGGAGAGACATCACATCAAGTACTAACACGTCTAGCCGAACACGGTCGAAGTTCCAAGAAACCACCAAAAAATTCCTATGATCTAGAAAAACTTGAAAAAAAGCTCTGCTATCGCGGCTCATGCCCTATATATTCCGGTCATAAAATATCATTTGAAAAGACAAACGTCCTACAAAAAGGGTTTTCTTTCTCACAAAGAGGTGACCATTTCAGAAGCTTTGTATATCTGTTCATATCCTTCTTCGGTCAACAAAAAAGATGGGTTAGACATCCCACTAATATGGTAAACATTAATGATTCGCCTAGGCAGTTGTAAATAATGTATGAAGAGAAGGTAGAACACAATTTCATTCTATATGATTTATTCCGAATTTACTCTTGTTTGAATAGTTTCTGGTGTTATTTTGCTTAATCGTCTTAACCACGAGGAAAAAATATATTGGTTTCATTTTAACAGCTTATCTAGTCCTATTTACATAGCACTTTATTGATCTACTATTTTCATCAATTTCACGCTACTTTCTGAGTTATATACACTCGATGAACCATAACACAATCCATTTTGTTATCACTCATACTTCAACGGTCATCAAAAGTACCTTTATCGTTGTCATTATTTATTTATTATATATTGTCTGATGTTCAAATATTCATGCTTCCAAATTAGTAATCTATTTTTTCTCACCCTTGAAGTGTCACAACCCCAATGTACTTTTCATAAACGAACTAAAGTTTTGCCCTACCGTATTTTTGTTCCATCTCACTCGTACAACTGAAAAAAACCTCTCTGACCGATTCACTCACCTGTATTACATCGATCTTTGCTCCATATCACTATGTATTTGGATGAGTGTAAAGGTCACCACCTTCTGCACCAAAACTTGAATATTAACCTGAAAACTTAATGTCAGATTCATACTCTTGAAAAGGATCTTTCTAGCAAGATCGAAACGTTGAGGAATAATGCAAAATTTTTGTTTATTTTGTTGTTTGTCCTAATATACTACGCCGGGATTACACAAGTAAAAATACACCTTATACAATGAAACATATGCTTTATGATGTAGATGTGAACCATAGTCATCGACTGAAGTAAATATTATGCAAACCAAGTCACAGTTTAAATCAGTATGGAATGTTAACTGAAGGAAATCACTTCATACATACTATTGCGATAGATTCTACGTTTTCTTAAACTTCTTTGCCTATCGGTTACACGAACATGATAATTGACCTGTTCAAAGTACACATTTTCATTATGACTACTCAGTATAGGTTATTTCATTTTTTATTACGTAACTGTGAAAAAAATGTCGATACTTCTGATGATCAATGTAAAAGATACTGCTTATCTCAAGTAAAACTTTTCAGTCGTAATCACTAGCTAGCATGTGATAGTTTTATGATCCTGAATGAAGCTATAGCTTATTGATCTAAGCAAATAACTTTCAACTGATAGGTTACAGGTTCGAACTCTGCCCCATCTATCAAGGTTTGGGCAGACAAATAGCATTATTTATCTTTAAACAATTAATGTCGTCAATTACCTACTAATTAAATTTGTAAAAGGTTGCTGAGTGGATTTCAATTTCATGTATGGTGCTGATGGCTAGTATATAAGTTCAATAAATAAGCCAGATGAAGTTGAAATGAGTAGTTAACCACATATTGAATACATCAGTGACTAGTTTCTACGTCAATTCATTCAACCAGGAATTAGCTCAAAGTAAAGTTCAAGGTATGCAAGTGTATATCGTCAGTTTCCAACAACGTGCAATGAAAAAAAGTGTCCAGAAGTGCCAGATTTTCATAGATCCCTCCACCGAGGATACAGAACTGCAATAGAAATCATCATCGACCATTCTAATATATTTTGACTGATGTGTAAGGATGAAGAGAGTTAAGCATGACTTTTTATCCAAGTTAGAGCCTTAGTTGGTAAACATTTCAATGTCATGCTAGAGATCACTATCAATGGATCAGGTTTCACAAGGAAGTGAAGTAACTGGTTTTGAGAAATCGACTACAACTCAACCTACATATCTTTATTAACAGGACAAATCTGCTTAGCTCATATGCGAACCAAACTATCTGCGTCTTTCAGTTCTTTACCATCAATCATCAGTAGTATGTCCCATCAAGTTAGGAAAAGACATTAATCGAGTTCCACCTAATTAACAGTAGCCTTTTTCCTGATTTGAAGTGCAACAGTTACTTGCCTATTGGGATGTTCTATTCGAAATATAATGACCAAAACGCTTAACAGGGTGGTAAGAATTGAAATGAGCAAAGGTTGAAGGTTATTGGATTAAGAAGTTATCGATAGAAAATCCTGTTGTAAAACATCGCAGACTGCAGTACTGGGTGACACAGCTTCGAATCTCAGAGGTGAAATCAGTTCCATCGAGGTTGCAGGTGCGCATATGCTGACAAGGGCTAACAAACACGAAGCTTAGGTGAAGTTGAGCCTCCTGCTGATTGACTTTAACCAACTGATATCCAATAATGTATATGTTAACACTTGTTACTAACTGATATGGGGATAGGGAGAGAGAGAGAACAATTCTGGAGAGCGACCATGCCACTTTTAATAGCTTCTTTAGTTAGTGTCATCGCCAACAGAATCAGTGAATTTCACTACGACCGTGATGCCAATGAGACTTCCGGTGCTTGGTTCAGGCGTTATCAAGACTACTTGGTCCACATGAGCTTGAACAATACTGCAACACGATTTCGTCGTAGAACCTACGTGATCGCACTTTCGATTCCAAAATCCACACACTAAATGACATGTCTGCAGAATATCAACGACTGGGTAACCTGCAGCGTGATACGAGTTCAGCCCGATCCGGATACCAGGGTGGTTCTGAAGTACATAGAGTTTGTCAGATATCTCATTCCTCAGCATCACCCCCTGGCTACGCAGCCTCTGTCCTTTTCTCGCTTGTTCATCGGCCCAGTAACTTATGTGATACCAACCGATCCTCGAAGAAGACACCCCCATCGCCTTGCTGGCATTATGGTGCCTGGTATTTCGTAGAATCTTGTCCACCTAAACAACATCGATGGCGTGACTGTATAGCTTAGGACCATAAGAACGATTTTTGCCGCCAACACATACAACGACGTGGACAAAGGTAATCCTCCAGACATCGCCGCAATCTCATTCTCGAACGGCTTATCCACCTACCCACCGAAAGAATATCGAGAAAACTACTGATCCCCGAGTGAATTAGGAGAAACTCCCTCTGCATCGGTCAGAGAAATGCAAGAAAAAAGCAGTGCGGCCCAGTTTGATTCTAAATAACATTCTTTCGAAGAGGTAGGTGATATTAGGATAGAGAGAGAAGCCTAGACTGGAGAGCGACCACACAAAATGTACTCTGTTGTCACATCTGCAGTTAGACAGGCAAATTGTGGGTCGGCCAATCAATAGTATTATTTTAAACAGTAAACAATCTATATATTAGCTATATTTTGCTTTGTTTTGGGTTTTCGGTCGTTCGACTACAATATACTTCAATCGTGTCTTCTCGATTAATCAGTCGGGTCGAGAATCATTTAGGAACTTGTTGAACGTTGGTGGCTGATACTCAATATTCATGCATCGTTAGCGGCCGTGACACACAACAATTTCCAAATCAAAACACCAACAAGACATACTGCTAAGTAAAACACTGTTCAATGTCCAGTGACGTAGAATAAAATGAAGAATAGTTGAAAATTGCACTTCTATTCAGTGCTTTTTGAAAAATAAAAAACAAAGCAATATAATGGGACTGTCAAGGTGACCTTGAAAACGTGCATTTAGGATAAAAATTGGTAAGAGTAACAGACACTAATTAGTGGTGCCAAAATCTGATCGTTTTATCGAATTTATTTTGTTTTCTCGGTACAACATGGATACCAAGAGATTAGCCGTACAAATTAAAACAACCCACTCAACCTGATACGGGTTTCTTGAAGTACAGTATGAGTCATACTTATAAAGAATCACGCTCTTCTGCTATAATGACCAAATTGTATTTTTACATTTGATAAGCCGCACTTATTGTTAAATAGTTATCAAGATGAAGCAGATCGAGTGAGATTCAAAACCGGGGCCAGTTGTTTTAAAATAGACTGGTTAAGTCAATGAAGCACAGAAGTTGACATCCTCAGTTCGGGACAATTTCTTCTTCACCTGCAATTAAATGTAAAGGTGCGTTACTGAAATGCCCCAAAACTCTGACAGAACGAGCTGTACAACAATTCTTTAAAATAATTAGTAAAGAAGACTGATGACAGAAAGCAACTTAGATAGAAATCAATACTCTAAGTTAGTAGATGCGAAGGTAGACAATTTTGTGTTTCCATTTTTGTTTCATGTCACTGAGTGGTCAGGAAAAACCTTATTGGACAATTTTATCCTACAGTTGACCAATCAAAATAAGTTTTTAACTTTTGACCTAATGGTCTTAAATTTTCATAAAAGTTGTATATAAATGATGTATTTTTTTCGAATAAAGTATCTTCCTTACAGTCACAGATCAGCCTTTGCCTTCTGAAATTTTCAGCTCAGTGAAGAGAGAAACGTCGCTAGTTAAACCCAGTTCTCAAGTGTCTCAGCGCATTCGAATCCTCCGCTTTCTTATCTTTACTATTATTCACTCGGTCACTTCACCTTTCCGATCTCATTAAATATATCCAATAATATTTTTAAGAGAAATGACTAGTTAATCATTCATTATCACAAAAAACCCGCTAAAACACGAGTAATAGTTTATTCAGTATAAATGTACCACTTGATGACTGGGTTTTGCAGCTCAGTTGTTAGGGCATCGGGTCGGTAACCCGAAAATCACCATTTCGAATCTTGCTGCAGCCTAGATTTCCATTTCCTCTTCAATCATCACACAGTATCATTAATTTGTTAAGAGAATTGTATCGAACAGGAATAGTTGTAATAATATGGTATGAAAAGAGATATATGTGCTTTTTGTGTGAACTTGATCAACCTGCCGTATTGACTTTATCAGGGAAATGTACAAACTGACGTCGTTAAGTTACTTCCAGAAAAACGATGGACAAAAACACTAGAGACAGGGATACAATACGATAATTTTTTTTTCCTATACAGGTAAACACAGGTATAACAAATAAAGAAGTTTGCAGAAACATTGAATTGTAACCACAGGAGAATATATGGAAATCGTAAAGGTCGAGTGAAATCACAGACGGACAATATCAACACAGTACAAAGCATTACTGAGTAACGATCCACGTTGGAATATAAACATCAACACATCAAATGAGAACGCAATACGACGAAAGACAAACAAATCAATAATAACAACAACAAAACAATCAATAATGGTAGAAAGTCGTCAAAAGAGAGCAAGTAGGAATGAGAGAATCTTGAAATTTAGCATCAACATACTAAGATGAGATCGAATCTGAACCAAATCACTGATTTCTGTTGTCACATACAGATCTCAGTCAAGAAGTCTACCGAAGTAAGTTGTAACTATTCAATAGACAACTGTGTAAAGCAAAGAGAATAACGAAGCTAACTAAGTTTCAAGGTAATTAGAGCTACCCAATTAATTATTTTACTTTAAGGTGTATTCCAAGGTATCATTCATAATGTATCATCTATATAGATGGTAGGTTAGGAGCTGCAGTCATCAAGCCTAGTAGTATCATTCGAATAACTAAATAAAATCGAGCCCAAGCATTGATAACTTCATTACATGATAGTCAATAAACTTCAACCACTCAGTTCTATCTTTGTATATGAAGGAGTAAGAGTACTCGTAAGTCTAGTAGCCCTAAGCTTTCCAATCAACAGGGTATATTTACCAACCTTTAGAAGAAGATGGTAACAATTTGTTTGAATGGTGAATACCACTTCCTGTCTTCATCTGGAAGCGAGGTTAGCTGTTGCGTGTAGAGAAAAAAACAAACACTTAGATGATGTCATATTACATCATTGATTAAGCATAAATTTTAAGAAATATGAATAACCAGCTTGCGCTTTAAATGGTATACAGAGAAAACAGTAATGATTAATAATAACAAAAGATTGAACATACTGAATATATTAACTTCATGATGTGTAAGCAGTTTTCGAGTTAACTTCTTGGCAACCAGTTTAAATGTCTCCTTGAAACAGAAGAAAACAGACAGGTAAATTCATCTCTTAATTAATATTGAATTTGGGGGTTTGTGGGCTGACATCATTCAGAGGAACATTGAAAACTTGGGAGCTGTTTTGCCCCACTATATGAATCCTCAGCGGTGCTCACCTAAGACCCCACCAGGGACCGAACCTAGGACGTTCAGGTTCCGTGGCTAGCACGTTGCCGTTGAGCCACTGGGTTGGAATCCAATGGTTCATATTTCCAACTTCTATCAGTTCGCGATATAGCGCAACCATCACCTAATGTCATCATTGAATATTTGTCCTTACAGCTACCAGGTTTGTCTCACCGGTCACGACTTCTCATTTGAACTTCACGAATCATCTCTCGAAATTAGTTACCAATGGGTACAAGGCCAATTTTATTTGGGGGTCTATGGGGATTTAGTGGTTTTTCAAGTTCGTATTCATCATGCAGGAACATTGGAAACGTGGGAGCACTGGACAGCTGTTTCATCCTACTACAGGACTCTTCAGCAGTGCACAGCCAGTAATAAATAATAATCATAAAAATAAACTATGATGTATATATCTTGTAGACATCAGTACGACAGGCAATGGACAACAAAAGTTGTTTTAGGCTTAGTTGCACAAACCTGGGTTCGAACTCGTGACTCACTGATTGGATATCAATTAACCACAACTTCACTTACAGTCTACACTGTCATGAATGATCTTAATTATAATCTAGATGTAGAAGAAGAGTTATTAGAAACGGAGCTTCCATTCATTTTGTCGACTATTACTGTAAAGATGCTTCAAAAATGAGTCCATATTAATCCAGTGTTTAGCTACTGTGCAACAGATATATACTGACCGAGATAAGCAGTAACAGATCGATACAAGAACGCTAACAATCATCAATATTAAAGCAAACTCCTCAACACATTAAGCAACTGAAACATTTGTTGAAGATAAAGTACATTGAATGTAGCAATACGCAATCGTTCACTTCCTAGCGTTAAATTATGTAATTCCTATAACCTAACTAATCATTCAAACATGTTAAAATAAACAAAAATACTCCTGGTGTCAGCTAGTGATATTCAAACATTAGCCTAAAAACTCTCTTCTCTGTTCAGGTAGTTGACATGTACACATATAATTTCTCAGAGGTTGTCACTTATTGACATAAAAAAACTAAAGATCATGTTCGAAATAGCTTTTATTCATTAATAATATTCAAAAATTTCGTTTAGTTGTTTGTTATAATAAATTATATCTCGTGAAGTCAATGTTACAACTTTAATTGTCGATTTTGATGGAGGTGATGAAGATACACAACCAACAACAGAATTAACAACAAGAACCAATCACTATCAATGGGAGAAATCTAAAGGAAGTAGTTTCTTTCACCTACCTGCATAGGCAACATCGTTTCAATTACAGGAGGCACATACGAGGATGTCAAAACCAGAATAGGAAATGCAAGACAGGCTTTCACTCAGCACAAAGAACAAGATCCCGATTTTCAACATCAATCCAGTCAAGTCAGTGATGCTATATGGTTCAGAAACTTGTTGTGTCACGGAAAGCTTTCCAACAAACTACAGATATTCATCAACAGCCGACGCCTACGCTGGCTCGATACTGATGATCAGATGGCCAGAAACAATAAGCAACAAGGATCTCTGGCTGACTGGCAACGAACCAACGAAGCAAGAACCTATAACCCAACAAATATGCTGAAGAAAGTGGAGATGGATTGGGCATATACCGAGAAGGACAACTGGGGACATCACGCACCAGACTAGGCCAGGCCCTCGAGTGGAATGTAAAGGAGAAACGACGAGTTGGGCGTCTGAGGTGAGGGTGATATGGAGGAGATCATGTGAGGAAGAAATGAAAGCTTGTGGGCTATCGTGGCGCCAGGTTCGAAAACTGCAGGGAACAGAGTGCATTGGAAGCGTGCTACTGAAACCCTATGTTTCACTAGGAACCCAAGGGAAAAATAATAATAATAATATAATCTATTACACAAATAAGACGTTTAAATAAGAGATGAGCCATGTTAAATATAACATGTCGTACTAAAACGTTTTAACTTTTTATCGTAAATTAACCCATGTGACTGTTGATCTAAGCCACCATGCAGAGAAATGTAAGTTTACTGGTTCCTATTCACTAAGCCACTAAAATCAGTAATGAGGAACTTAAATGGTTACAGTTTATAATCGATTTCTTGTTGTACTTATCACTGTCTAATATCTTATCAAATGTACACCTTTAAAAGTAAATAATCTTATACAATATACTATTTCTCTTCAATACAACTCACAAACTATTTTTCGAATGTATTTAGTCTAAGGGTAATAAGAAGTTGTAACTGAGATTAATAGATAATCATGAGAACTATAGTCAAAACTTTGGATACTTTAAACTCTTTCCCTAGGTGACAAATGAAAAATTCCTTAGAAGTGTGACCTAAGAGACGCATTTCTTCATATCTAGGATTTGTCAACTTGATGTACCTATACCTCAATGAGTGATGGTGTTCCCAATAAGACTCAAATCCTGGACCGACTACTAGAAACACCAGAGTATTATCCACTAGGCGATTGAGAAACAAGAGAGAACTATTGTGTAATAAATATCAATTGTTGTTTTTAGTTGTTATGTAGTGTTGAACTCCTCGAACTCTGTTGGCAATATGATTAACCTCCACAAGTAACTACAACACCTGAGCTGTATGTAGTCTTAAAAAGAAAAGACCAATTTCAACGAAAAACTTGATCAGCATTCTTACATAAATTACATATTGAGATGGTTTCAAACATCGAAAGGATATCTACTTGTAATCTATATAGAGATAATATTAATCATAATTTAACTTCAATGAAAAGTTGAATAATTTTACCAAATCTTGTGGTTGAATCACCCTAATATAATGGATGTAATGTAATATAGAAAAAATGCTTTAGACCAGATAAAGTTTCGAAATTATAACTAACTGATACACAGTGGTGTAAAAGAGGATGAATAACATAAGATAACAGTTTACAAATAGATAACAACTTACTTTATTATCAAATACACCTTTAGCAAAATGACGTGATAGGGAAGCTACTACTTGTTTTGCCAGTTCAGTAGTAGATGAACTTATTTCAGTAGATGTACAATTCTAAGTTTAGAAGTTAAAAGAAAAAAAAACAATGAAGGACAACAAATTGATAGAAATGTTAAAATAAATAAGTATGACATCATACAAAATGTATACTTTCATTCAAAGAAAAATTGTAAAAGTTTAAATATTGCACCCCTTTAGTTAATTAACAAAACTAACTAATTTAATGAGGTTTAATACTTTACCATCGACGAATCTATGATGTAGTTTTTATTGAGGGGATTACAGTAAATATTTATCATGATACATGGCAGTCAGTCAGCAATTTTCTACCTCCATTTATTATGTCCTACTGTTCTACATCATTTCAGATTCGACACAGTTTTCTCAACTTCAAAGAGAGTTGAAGAACCGACATCTACGTCTCATTCGGATTTAAATCGGAAGTTGGGAAACTGAATTGGTGCTGTGAGTCAGTTGAAATGTGTTTCAAAGTGTTCTGCCTAATATTCTAGCCGCCTGTCATGAGACGTTACCAAAAACCATCCTTTCCGATGATGGTTCCACTCATTATCATCTTTTTCTTCTCAGCATCCTTAATAAGTCTAAATAGTTGCCGGATGTGACTCAACGGTAATCCCTTCTTCATCTCCTTCGCTTCCATCACCCATTAGTGCTCGTGATTGACGCGAAGACTCTTGGTCAACTAACATTTAGGTTGCTTTTGCTCTTCATCGTTGTCAGAGCCATGCTAGAATCAGTTCGGATTACGTCGTGGAAATCCAATTGTCTTTACTACTGTTCATACATGAGACTTAATATCACCAGGTTTCCTCAGGATGAGGATTAGTGTCAAGCTGACATAAATACTTAGCTAACTCCATTCGAAATACGCATTTGGCATCTACATCCACCAAATGACCACAGACAGGCTTTACTATCGCCTATTTCCTGCGACTAGTAAGGTGCAGAAATACACGTGCCTGTACCGAAGCGTGATCGGGGTTCAAACTGGCACTCCAGAAAGAACAGAAATCCTCCACCGATCCTCTCCAACGATGACTTATAGCGATGTGAGCTATTTGCGTCCATTGTCAGTTTTTTGTCGTCGGACACCATGTGGGACAGTGTCTCTCTTCATGCTTAAAATTAATGCTGTTCAGGAACAGATGATCGTCAGAACAAAATTGCAAGAGGCCATCACCACTGTAGGTTTGTTGCCATGAAGTTTCCGTAAATACCCACAACATGCCTTTCCGATTTGCTCAGCTTCCCTACCTGAAAGTTAACGTCAGTCACCTACTATTATGACAACATCTAAAAGTTTTGTTTTATATAGCAAAGCTAACATCTTTTTATAGAATTCAACCTTTACATCATCCGAACTGCAATCAATGGGTACGTAGGTGGAGATTACGAATAAGTATCGGTTAGTTTCACAATCGTTCCTAGTTCGTACAAATCAATTCAGTCGGACAACAAACAGATGGCTGTTTACTAGTATCCAAGCGACAGGTGCAGTTTATGCATGTAAACTTGATGCTGTCCCTACATCAGTTAGTTCGCGGTCTCCAGATACTCAAAGGGTGAAGCTCGAAGATTTCCTACAATGGTTAGGTGAGATCAATTTAATACCCACACTCGCATCTTGTATGCGTGCGTGTCTCAGTGACACAGCATCCATCCATACCTAGAGATTCTAGAGTTCTGGCAAGTGATGCTTGCTGTCTGATTTAAAATAAAGTTCAGACGTCTAAAAGCTCCTTCATGAAATCGATGACAGGGTCTTAGAAGAGTAGGAATGAGGTTTGGATGGCTTGGGTCATTGGCAATCATCACGGAGTGAGAGGTTGAGGAAGGCGTAATATTAGTATCAGGAGGTTAAGGCAAAGGAGAAAACAGAGGTGAGGAGGCCAGGTTATGTTTGACTGGGTCTTGAAAACAACAGGAAGCCTACGGGCGGTTGACACTTCTAGGCTACTCATCCCATGGAAGTTGTTTTCGGAGGGTACCCGAAAGACAACAAGGAAAGAATTCATGGGACCGCAGAGCCCGTAAGACATCTGTTGTAAACCTGTCATACACAGCCTTGTGAGGATTGTTGGTATGAGGTGTGATTGTTCTAACGTCTGGTTGAAGGAATCTATACCACTGGAACCGGAAGACCATGGTATAGCTAGGAGTGTGCTATTTTGGGGGTCTATCCGCGTTCGCGTAGGAGAGGTAGCACCAGTATGGTAGCAATTTGCCCTACAACGGTAACCGCTCCTTATCTTACGACTGTTCAGCAAACCTTTCTGATATGACGGAACCTTGAAGGAACAAGCGTTCCAGCCAGGGCTACTCACTGGTCATAACGATATACAAATCCGTCCACCATGACAAGGTAGCAGCTATCAAGACAAGACAGTCAAGAAGTCTTGGCTTAAGTTAGGCAAGCAAAAATTGTTAACTTTTCGGCAACACACATACACACATCAGTGGCACTTTCACAGATAGACAACTTTTTTTCCTTCACAGAAATGTCATCACTAAATAAAATTCATCAATTTAAGTAAGAACTGTTAGAAAAATAACCGTAAACTTTAAGCATTCATTGGTATAGTTGTTACATAGCAGGATGTAGCGAATAATTATTTCTTTAATAATCCATATATAGAAAGGAAATGATTGAAATACCATTACTTGCATGAAAGACGATTCATAAATGCATGAAGAAAAAAACGGTCGTTTCGTTAACTCTTATGCCGATTTACTAGTCAAGCACATTTTAGTGGAGATAACCGTAGATGGTTCGTAATGTTGGAAGAAAACGACAGTAAATAATCTCATGGTAACTGTTTGATGTCCTCTGGGCGTTGAGGTTTGTTCCTATATGAACCATAGTCAGGCTAGGCGACTTCATTAGCAATAACTTCTATGACCGTCTCGAATCTCTTCGTTTAAGTAAAGACGCACAGCTCACTTGATGCGTCATCATCATCAGAACTAACGTAGAACCAGGCGTTACTGCGTAACGGTTCAAGTTGTCACATCTCATAACACCACATCAAATAACAAGGCAATAACATAGAAGATGAAGGGGAGAAGAAAACTTGGTCAAAAGAAGTAGAAGTAGAAAGCAGTAGAAGAGAGTCTTCAGCCACTGATTTTTCTTGTCCCACGGACCCCAACCGGCTAGTGTGCATCGCCCTACATGGTTCAAACCAATAGTCAGGGCTTCTTGCATTTATGCCATCTTTTAGTCTGGCCTCCCCGAACCTATAACCAGCTTGAATCTTCTTCAGTCAACATTATGTGATGAAGCAGACGGTGGCTAGACATTCGTATCACAAGTCCCAGTCATTTTAGTCGATGAAGGTCCACAGTCGCCTAAACTGTCTTACCTCTTCTCCTTAAAACTCTACTCCAGACTTCTGCGTTACTCACGTGGTGACACCAAGAAACACGGCCTATGCTACGAAGGCAACGGGGGTCAAACACCTGAAGTCTTCTCATAACTTCTATCTTTAATGCCTATGTTTCAAAGACATAAAGTAGGATAGAGCAGACTGCAGTACAGTACACTCGACCCTTAATAGACAATCGAATATCTTGACGACGCCAAAGATGGTGTGGGTTGGCAAAAGCCGATCAAGCCCTTTGTATTCATGTAGCGATTTAATCAGCCACTGACCCACCAGAGCTGATCCGACTTCGCAGGTAAGTGAAGTGTTCAACGCACTCAACCACTTCACACTCTATTGTTTAAGAGTGAAGTAGTTGAGCGTGGTTGATGCGTACTGAACATTGAAACCAATAGCCTGAACAGTTAGTAAACTGAGAGATGTAACTGATTTAGCTAACTAACTTTTAATTTAAAAAAAAACTTGGTATTAAAATTTTCCATTATAGAAATCGATAAACGATATTCAGAGTGAAAAGTTAAATGTTCTAAAAATTATCTACAGGTGAAAATTTGGATGGCATATCCAGTATTATAGACAGTAAACACAAAAATGTGTCAATATTATTGGAACAGAGAATGAAATAGCTTACAGTCTCTTCTTTCATTTCAACACTTCGTGTATTTGTAGGAATGGATACTATAGAACGAGGATTAAATGGTCGGTGATTCTGATGATGAGAATGCTTTGTCGGATGTTTTTCACTGGGCATCTCCGTTATTTCCCCTGGTAGATCACTTGTCACAGAACTAGGACATTCATTACTAATATTAGTATTATTAGTAGCGATAACTAATTTCGAAGAAGTAGTATTGATGGCAATGGTAGAAGCTACAGTAGCGGTAGTATTTACAGTAGTGGGAACAGCATCAGTTTTGTTGCCTTGTTCCCAAAAGTAAACAAGGCGTTTCTCAGGTTCAACAGGTTCTGTTTTGAGGATGGTTTTCGGTACAACTTCTAGTGATTCTGAATTGTCCACGTTCAAGTGATCGTATTTCGGTTCATCTACTTTGATTACCAATGTCTTATGATGTGCATCATTGGAATCTGTTGATTCTTCATACTTATTTGGTGTTAATTCTATTTTTTGCCCTTGAAATCCCTGTACTCCATGGTGAACATTGTCTTCATTATCATCATCGTCACTAAGATCTGGAGAACTCTAACAAAATGAACAAGAAAGTTGAAACAAAAGTTATGGCAATTAGATATAAGTTAGTCACTCCATATAACAAGATAACAGACAAGACAGAAATAATATAATTAGAAGTTGTAGGAAACTATTTTAAGAAAAAAAAAATGCGAGTTGAAAACACGATCAAACGGTTGACATGAAGATAAGGTCAGGATGCATAGACACCAGTAGGGTCAATTATCAGCCATATGCCAGATAATATTCAACTAGCGGTCAGAGACTTTATGGACTTGTAAATCCCCGTCGTTTATTGGATCGAATTGATCGGCAAATACTGGTATATATGCTCTTGTTTAGATGTCTCGTTTCAACAAGCTGGCCCTAGGTTCGAGTCCCGTTAAGAACAGCACTTACTGGGAGGCACGTATATCCAGCTAATGAGTCCCAAGTAGGATGGATAACAAGTTCTAGATTCCACTGCTAACCAAAAATCACCAACTTACTTTTCTCCTTCATCTGAAAGCGTACATTCAACTGTTAGAATAATTATCAAGCAGCTCCGTGCTACGAAGGAAACGGTGGTTAAATATTTACAGCTTTCTCGTGTCTGTCATTCTTAACGGCCTTTTTTCACAGCTATACTACATGTTTGAGTGAAATGATGGAGTTCTTATAGGCAATCGGATATCTTGTTGGCGCCGTATATAGCGCAGAGACCTCAACTAGAATGAGGAACTCGCCAGTAGACTCACAGTTAGGTTTAAAACATTTCCGCTTCCCTAGAGTTCATCGTTTCTGAACTTCACTTAGGATTTAAGAGTCTCAAACAATCAACACTTTCTTCGCCAGGCTGATTATTCCGTGATAGAAATCACATAAAGTTGCTGCAAGCCGGGAAAGAAGCAGGATCAGATAGAATTCCACCAGAAGAACTGAAAACAGACGCAGAGACATCAGCAGACATGCTCATACCACTATTGCAAAAGGTTTGCGAGGAAGGAAGAAAAGGTACCTGCCATACAGAAGTAGAGCTACCTCATCAACTCCCAAACAAGGGAGGCCTAAGTCTTTACAAGAACAGGTGCGGAATCACGCCCCTGTCCACCCCAAGCAAAATATTAGGCCACATCATCCGCGGAAGACTAAAAATGCACCGTATTCAAGATTACAACCTCAAACAGCTGGCTGGCTGTCTTCAGGAAGCACAAATCATGCGCAAACGAAATACCAACGCTACGCCACGCATCATCATACAACAAACCACAGAATGTCAGTCAACTGGATCTTCACCTCAACTTCATCGATTTTTAGAAGGCCTTCGACAGAGTCGGCCGAGGAGCAATCTGGCAGCTGCTTCCGTCAACACTATGGTTTAAGCGTTATAGACCCTTATCATCCTAGTTCAACAGCTACATGACGACGCAACATGCAAAGTGATTCACAATAGAAAGCTCAATGATCCCTTCGAAGTGAGAAGCTTAATATTACCGATCATCGTCCCGAATGGATTCGATCATGCAACAAACTGCGAGAAGCGAGAAGGGAATAAATTACCTGCATCGATGAAAAGACATTAGGAGATTTCGATTTCGGCACCGACGATGATTTATGTCCAATGTCTTGTCGCACAGACTCGAAAATCTAAAGGCAAAAACTAACAAGTTGGTAAAAGAGGTAACGCAGCAAACGAAAACGCCACTTTCTTCAGTTGAACGTACAGAAGACACAGGTGATAAAGGTACCAAAACAACAACAACAAGCAACAATCACCATCAATGAGAGAAATCTAAAAAATGTTGTCTCTCTCAACTACCTACCTACCTAATCACCAACCTTGGCACCAACGTTTCAACTAAAGGTGGCGGTGGCGGCGGCACACATGAAAACGTCAAAACTCAGGATCGGAAAACAGCAACACACGCCTCCCTTCATCAATCTGAAATCAGTGTCGAGATCCACTACACCACACTCCACTCCACTCAACTCAACTCCATTCCACTCAACATAAACCACGAACAACATCCAGATTGTCAACACTAATGTCAGTCAAGTCAGTGCTTCCATGTGATGCTTCATACACTTCGCGCGTCACCAAACGCATCTCCAACAAACTACAGACATTCATTAACACCTGGCACATACGCTCACTCAATACTGACAATGAAGATCAGATGGATGGCTAGAATAGTAAGAATAAGCAACAAGGAACTCTGACCTGTCAACTAACCAACCAAGAACCCATTCCCAACAAATAAGCAGAAGAAAGTGGAGATCGATTGGATGGGGGCATACACCAGTAAGACCATTCGGGGACATCATGCACCAGGCCAGGCAAGGCCGTCGAGTTCAACCCTAATGAGAAACGACAAGTTGGGCATCCCAGCCGAGGCTGATATGGAGGAGATGGAGTGAGAAAGAAGTGAAGCGTTTTGGGCAGTGGTGGAGCCAGCTTCGAAAGACTCCAGAGAAGAGAGTGAAATGGCCACGTGCTACTGAAGCCCTATCTTCCACTAGGAATCCAAGGGGAAAATAATAATCGTCATCACAATACGATTCCTTCTAATTATTATAGACTAGCCCAATCGATGATTGAAACTAGTCAGATAGGGAGGATTATATCTGATTTCTATAACCTAGTTATTTCACAAATCACTTTAATCAACAAACCTCAACCAACGTTATTAAATACCTTGACTAACAGTCTATCAGATCCCAATGCCGTTCTTTCTTTCAAACAATGTATAAGCTATTAAGCTTCAACAAAAATTAGGATATATTTGTGAAGGTTACATAAAAGCAGGAAGTGAAGAGTAATTAGAGGTCAATTGCCATTTAGATATTTATGTGCATGTAACCATTAGTCGAACTGCTAATAGTCATAAAGGTGATGACTACCTGTCATACCTCCTTCTGATTAAATGTTAAAAAGATAGACCAGTGAATAAACATTTGCATGAATAACCGATAGGAAGAAGCTAGAATTATCTGCAAATTTGATCACATTATTCAAGTGTGGTATTAGTGATTTCTGTACCTCTAGTATAGTATATCAATCATCAATGATAAGCCGATGACGAGATTTCTAATTTTCTGTTCATAGAAAGACTATTCTATCGACCTTACAAATTATAATAACTATCGCCCATGATGTTCCTGATTGTAGAGAACTGGATCATGCAACAAACAGTGACGAGCGAAAACAGGGGGATACACTGGACCGCGGAAAAAAACCTAGAAGACTTGGATTTCGCCAGAGATGACTTGTGTCCGATGTCACACAAACTTGGAGATCTACAAGCGAAAACAAACAAGTTGACAGAAGAGGCTGGGCAGCAAAGGAAGACGGGACTTCAAGTGAACGTAGAGAAGACAGAGGTGATGAAGATACCCAACCAATGCCACCAACAACAAGCTCCAATCATCATCAACGGGAGAAACTTAGAGGAAGTAGTCTCTTTCACCTACCCACGTTGGCAGCATCGTTCCAACTACAGGCGGTGGCGGCACAGACGAGGATGTCAAAACCGGGATCGCAAATGCAAGACAGGCGTTCATTAGCCTGAAACAAGTGTGGAGATCTTCTGCACTCCACTCAGCATAAAGCGTGAACAACATCCGCATTTTCAACACCAATCCAATCAAGTCAGTACTTCTGTATGGCTCAGAGACTTGGTGCGTTACGAAAGGCATTTCCAACAAACTACAGACACTCATCAACAACTGTTTACGCTGGCTCGTAACTGAAGATCAGATGTCCCGAATAATAAGAATAAGCAACAAGGAACTATGGCCAGCTGGCAACGAACCAACCAAGAACCTGTCGCTCAACAAATATGCAGAAGGAAGTGGAGATCGATTGGATGGGGCATACACCGGTAAGACCATTCGGGGACATCATGTGTCAGTGGAACCCAGATGGGAAGTGACGAGTTCGGCGTCCGAGGTGAGGGTGACACGGAGAAGATGGTATGAAGAAGAAATGAGAGGTTGTGGGCTGTCGTAGAGCCAGGTTCAAAAGATTTCAGAGAACAGAGCGCATTGGAGACGTGCTACTGAAGCCCTATGTTCCATTAGGAACCCAAGTGACAAATAATAATAATAGTAGCAATTGAATACATTGAATACAACAACAGCAACGACAACAAGCTCCAATTACCATCAACAGGAGAAACTTAGAGGAAGTAGCCTCCTTCACCTATCTAGGCAGCACTGTTTCAACTACAGGCGGTGGCAGCACAGACGAGGACGTCAAAACCAGCCAGGATCGGAAAGACAGCAAGATAGGCGTTCATTAGCCTGAAACCAGTGTGGAGATCTTCTGCACTCCACTCATTGAATACATCCCATTACATCATAGATCATAATCAATAACGCTAAGTCAGTTGTACAGAAGTTGAACTAAATAATCAATTTAACTTGATAGGATGTGAATAATACGGTGATATCATTTATAAGGTGATATTATTAGCATGAAAGGTGAATATGAGTTCGCCTGAATGAATTCATTATAAAATAAGCATTATGAAAAGTAATAATTAATAAAACATGAACAGAAGTATCATATTTACAATAAAACGTACTTCTTCAGTCTGAATTCCAAGTCTGTTGTACGCTTTAACTTCATGAGACTTTAAATTAATGTCTAACCTTCTACTTGATTCATTATTTTCTTTAAAACTGGCATTAGGCTGGAACTGTTTTGTCGAAAAATAGTTGAAAGATTTCTGTTCCTTTAATTTTGTCTTTTGTTCTTCGTCTCCTTCCTTACTGAAATTCATAAAATCATCATCATCATCATCTTCACCATTATTACCAGCATTGACGTTAGACGAAGAGTGCTTTATAAAAGAATGAAATAAAGTAAATAAAACATACTGTAATCATTTACAAGAGTTGAATAAACTTTTAAGTAACAGCTTCTGGTCAGTTGATGTACACAAAACATATCCACACATGGCAACTTAGAAGATTTCTTCAACAAGTATGTCAATGAAAACGAAAAACAGTGACAAAGTTTTGATAGATGGATAGAATCAACGTAGAACCTCGTAAACAACTGCATCCGTTCAACTTGTCACGCTTTACAGTAGAACAAATAGATTAGAAAAGAGTGACATCAAAACAAAAAAAAAGTAAAACGAAAGAAAAATAATTTCAAGATAAACGTCATAGCAAAATATTCTGCGTCACTGTGACCAATTTTCAGCAATGTCATCAGAAGTCTCTAGCCATTGATCCCTGTCGTCTCGATAAACCCAACAAGATATTCTACACCTCTCTTACACGATTCAGACCAAAAGTCAAGAACTTCATGCACTGGTATCAAGTCTTACCCTAGCACTTATCAGCCTTCTTCCAACTTAATCCAACTTCCCGTAGCATGGTATGTAGAAGTAGGCGGTGGATTGGTATACAAAGAACTTGTCCAAGCCACCTCAGTCAATGAAGGTTCATACACTCATCGAATCGAATTTATTTTGAGGTGTTTAATACCACAAACTAAGACACTTTCATCAGGAAATCTGAAGATTCTCAATTTAAACAATGCTGTGAACTGATGAAAAAAATTTTTGGCTGGAAACTTTTGAAATGCCAAAATCAGCAGCACATTATGGAAATCAACTGTAGCTGACTCCAGTTAAAAAAAAGAGTAGAACGTCGAAGGAGACTAAGCACTTCCAAGTAAAATACCAAAACGAACCAGTACAACTTTTACAGAAGGAAGTGATGGTAACTTTCTCAAGCAGTAGTCGACATTTTAAGACATTCATCACTCAGGTAAAAGTTTCTGAGCTTTGTTTCTAATTTATGCCTTTGTATGATCAGGATGATTTCAGTCGGCAGATTGGTGTTTCAGTCAATCAATGAGAATAAATTGTTCATTATTTCTCTTAACATCTGTTATCTTTATGAAAATAGTAAAGATATGTGTAAGAGTAAGACTCGTAGAACTAGTAGTCCACAAATACCGTTTCCGTTCAACACTCACGCCTTACAGTCGTATACTGAGTTAGAGTGAACTGCAGTGCAGTAAACTTGTCCATTAATACATAATCGGATATCTCATCAGTATCAGAAATAGAGTAGGTTGGCATATACCAAACAGATCTTTTACATCCGAGCTGAGATTTCATCTGCAACCAACATATTTTTGGGTTGATGGAACAACGTGATACATGCCACCTGCTCATGAAGTCGTTGATTATTGAGTTGAGCCGCGTAGCATGATGTAGACAATCTAACTGGGGTACTCGAGGTGTTCAAAATCAATGGTTGAAGACTTTTGGTCACTTGTCTGAAAACCGGTCACAATGGTACAGATGAATATTCATTCTTTGATGCCTTCTGAAGCTTGAATGTTTTGACTAACCTTAATTTTTAAAATTCTCTGTCCTCTCATACACTTTTGTCTACTTTATTATCATTTTTGCAATCCACTTGTTTTTTGTATGGTGCTGTGTAGTGTATCAGCTTGAACTAAAGCAATCATGTGCAAGGTTCTGTGTTGATTTTACCTGCTCGTCTCTACATCTGATGTCCCTTCAGTATTCACAAACGTTCCACTTGTTAACTTGTCTATCTCATATATGACATTGAGTTGAGTGTGATAAAAATCATTATGCAGGCGAAGTGACTCGAAAGACTACCAATAAGACGTGCGTACCATCGATATGCAGCCCAACTTCAAATTAATATCAAAGTGGAAGGAATGCGAGACACCAGAGCATTTCAAACCCCTGCCTTGAAATCATTTTACTGCCTAAAGATTAAAATATCTAAATTTCAATAAGCTGATGTATACATGCCCGTTAAATAAGTTTATGATTTACACAGTGTAACACAAATCAACAAATAATGTAATTTGTCTTAAGAGACAAATTTTTATTCTAAAAGTTACCAATGATATTTATTGTATCCTTTTATCCACTCCAGTTTCAAATTTAATTTAGTTCAAATTTATTAACAAAATGAACCTCACAGAAGAAAATGATTTTATCATATTTCTTCGGTGTCTTTATCTCCCTTTCTGTGTGTCTGTGTGTTTCTTTTAGTTGTTACATAGGCAAAAATCGAAATCGTGAACTACTGTGATAATTATACGGATAGATATCATAGTAGAACAACATACGTGGTTGCAGTAATCCAACTAAAAAATGTAACCTAACTTGGTACTTACTTGGGCGTACTATGAACTATAAGCATCTGATGCTAACCAGCTGTCCAAGCATAAATGAGTGGAGACGGCTTCAAACCAGAAGCCTATTGCCTGAAATTCAAGTGATTACCCTCAAAGTGAAAAACTTCAGCAATGTAGTATAACCTTAGTCCATATTTGATATGGCATACGACGATACAGTATCCTTTACTTGGAAAAGCGTTATCCACTGCGCCACTGAGGTAAGAGAGACGCCTCGCATGCAATGGCTTGTAATTTCCCGTTGCAGGGTATGCAACAAACTGTGAGGAGCAAGAAAAGGGGAATAAGTTGGATCCACTGACAAAAGGACCCTAGGAGATTTTGATTTCGTCACCGAGGATGATTTATGTGTAATGTCTTGTCGCCGATAGTTGCTACCTTGACATTGTAGTCAGGCTTGCATATCACAATGACCCAACGAGCTATGCTGGTGGAACGCTTGTTCCCTCGAGGTCCTACCATACCAGAAAAGTTTGTTGGATAGTGGTTAGACGAAAAGCAGTTACCGTTGGGGTGTAAATTACTACACTACGATGGGGGCCTAAGGGCGAAGTCGTACTGCTGCTAGCTGGATGGGGTGTGACAGCAGTGAAGTGTTTCCCTTGGATAACCAGAAGTGCCATGCTGATGCTGCCTTCCCAGTGGAAGGGAGGGGGGTTAGAAGAGGTCAGCCCCAAAAGAACACACTCCACCATGCCCCACAGTCTGCTGAGAAGTGTCAACCACCCTCACAACTCTGTCAGCACTCAAGTTTCCTCAGACTGCTATCCACCTCCCCCATCATTACCTTCTAATCTTCCTTCACGTCTCTTAATTAATGATGCTGCATCATCTTCAATTTCTCCTACCTCTGCAGCCTTCGACAACGATCTGAGTCCACAGAACAGCATCCTGGTCTCCTTAAACCACGCTCCAAATTACATATTGGAGCCTTCAATGTCCGCACCCTCCGTCAAATTGGCCAACAGGCTTCGTTGGCAAAGACTCTAGCAACTCGGGCATGGATGTGTGCTGTGTTTGTGAGACACGCATACAGGACCCAAGTGTGGTTATTCACCTGACCTCTCCTGACCAATCTGGTGAATCTGCAAAATTCACCCTTCGAGTTTCTGGAGATTCGATAGCTAGCTCTCGTGGTCTTGCAGGTGTAGGTATAGCATTAAGCACCAGGGCAGAAAACTCACTACTAGACTGGATCCCAGTTGATAGTCGCCTCTGCGCTATGAGGCTGAACGGCACAGTGAGAACTAAAAGGAATAGTGAGACTCGCCGTTGTCTCTTTGTAATCTCTGCTTACGCACCCACTGACTGCAGTTCGGATGAAGTGAAGGACGAGTTCTACCATAAACTGTCTAACCTCCTCTCGAAAGCCAAACGTTCGGACGTAGTGGTTGTTGCAGGTGACCTCAACGCACAGGTGGGTAGACTGAGTGAGGCAGAAAGGCACTTAGGTGGCACTTTCGGAATCCCAGCTGAACGTACAGATAACGGTGATCGCCTATTACAACTATGCTCAGATAACCGCCTATTTTTAGCCAGCACAAATTTCAGACATAAAGAAAGGCACTGTCTGACCTGGCGTCCACCGAGCTCGACTCAGCGATGGACACAGATAGACCACATTGCTATTAGTCATCGCTGGAGAGGATCGGTGGAAGACTGCCGCTCCTTCTGGAGTACGTGTTTGGACAGCGATCATGCGTTGGTCCGAGCACGTATATGCCTGCGTCTCAATGGACGTAGAAAAAATTTGGCAACAAAACCACTACGAGTTCTGCTGGACAACGAAAACACCAAAGCCGTGTTCAGTGAGAAGTTGGCTAGGCAGTTATCGGAACAAAAGACTGTCACTCATCCAGAAGAAGCTTGGTGCCATCTTCAGTCTACTGTAAAAGCAGCACTGAAGACTGTAGCCGACTCCAAGATAATGGCTAAAAAGAGCCAGTGGATATCAGCAGCTTCTTCCAAACTAATGGATGCACGTGAATGCATCCCTGCAGGCTCTGAGTACAATGAAGAGCGAGCGCAACTTAAAAATAGACTGACGAAAAGTCTGCGCAACGATCGTGAACAGTGGTGGGCAGCAAAGGCTAAAGAGATGGAAAAGGCAGCGGCGATCGGTAACAGTAGACAGTTATTTAGACTTATTAAGGAGACTGGGGGGAAATGTTCAACAACAGTTAGTGAGGCTATAGCGGAGAAGAATGGATCTGCGATTCACTCGCAGGGGAGACGACTGGAACGATGGGTAGAACACTTCGAGGAACAGTTTAACTGGCCTCCAGCCACCATTGTGTTACCTGCTATCCATTAGTATCCTGATTGGGACATTGAGATAGGCCCTCCAGCACTTGCAGATGTTGAGAAATCTAAAGGTCACTCAAAACGAGGAAGGGAGGCAGGATCTAACGGACTAACTCCACAGGTATACAAGGATGGTGGTAAGGTGCTTTTAGTCAGGTTAACGGAAGTGTTAACCAGTATATGGGAATCAAATACGATCCCCTCTGACTGGTCTAAGTCACTCACTATCCCAGTCTTCAAGAAAGGCAAGAAGTCCTCTTGTGATAACCACAGAGGAATCAGCCTGACAAACATAGCATCCAAAATCCTAGGTTCTATAATTCTCCGACGCCTGAG